ATAGCTGTGCTGGTAGCTTTAGTATGGTCTTGTTTGTGATCATTTGGGTAAATGCCCAAAAGTGGGATTGCTGGGTCATAGGAGAGTTCTATGTGAGGTCTTTTGAGGAACCTCCATACTATTTCCAAAGTGGTTGAACAAGTTTACGTTCCCACCAACAATGCAGTAGGGCTCCCAGACAAGCAGAAACGGTCAGATAAGTTGATGGTAGGCAAAATGAACCCTGGGATAAGGACTCAAATGTTTTTTCTTGCTTGCTATTGTTTCTAACATATTTATAAGATTTTTTTGTTGCTTTGTATGTCCTTCCCCCACGGTACAACCCTTGTTTTCACTGTATTTGATGTTGGTATAATTTGTGGAGGGGAAGGGAAAAAACAAATTGTTTAAATAGGGATACAGATAGACCCATTGCAACAATGAGATGTATAAGGTGTTATGTGTAGAAACAAACTTTACAACTCTGGGGCTGGGGGACGGGCGGGGAAGAGGGGGAAGATGGGAAGGGATAGGAAGGGGAAACAAAGGAGAAGGCAACAATGCTTGATTGATAAGAAATGTACTCATTACTTTGCTCATGTAATTGTAACCCTTCTGTAGGGTATTTTCACAATTAAAAAAAACAACTTGTGTACTTAATGCTTTACCTTGTGTAATGTCTCTTTTATTTTGTATTCATTATATATGTATATTGTAATATGCACATGCAAATCTATACCACAATCATTTTATTGAACTTTTATTTCCAATGGTTTTAATGTAATATATATAAACTATAACTGTACAATAACAGAATATATAATTATATACTGCAAACTGACATCTCTAGGAAAAAATAGAAGTGAAAGTAGAAACAAAAAATGAAGTGAAAGTAGAAGTTTGAATCACCCTACTTGTAGTAAATAACAATCCATTAGAGATAATTCATCAGAAAGACGGTGAACATGATCATCACCTCAGACAAAACAGACCTAACCATATAATTATAGAAGTTGGCAACAGCAGCAGAAAATGTCATCTTCAAAGTACATGTGAAACATTCTCCAGGACCGATCACACGTTAAGTCTCAAGTCTTAACACCTTTAAGAAGATTTAAATCATCTCAATTACTTTCCCAAACCCAAAGGAATGAAATTAAATGTCAATAAAAAATAGGAACTGGGGAAAACTCAGAAATGTAAGTCAAGTGACACATCTTGCCATTAGATAGAAAACAATCCCTTGGTGAAAAAGGAATCAAACAAATTAGAAAACTAAAAGGCACATCAGAAGCTAAAAAAATGCAGTACTAAGATAGAAGTATATGGTAATAAACAAACCCATTAGAAAAGAAAGCCATGTCTATGTGCTAAGAAGCACACAGAGTCACCCCTTCCATTATTCTATTGTGTTACTAACAGTAAATGTAGGATAATATTGTCTTTATCATTCTTGTCCAATCAATCCCACTTTTAATATAGCAAGTCTGTTTGTGTGATGTTTTTGCTTATAAATTACTTGGATGCATTTTTTAAATCTAAGCTAATTATCTGTGTGTGGGCGTGCATGTGTGTGTGTGTGTGTGTGTGTGTGTGTGTGTGTGTGTGTGTTTGATGACCAGATTATATGTTGTTATGCCTTGTTTTAGATTTTTTATTTAGTTTAGGAGTACAGGTTATTCTTGCTTCACAAACTTGTTTCACTAAGAGATAATTGCTTTTTTTATGTGTAGGAATTCAATTAATGACTCAAATAATTAAACACAGAATTTTGCCCTCAGGGTTTTATTTTTCTTCAATCATTTTAAATAAGACTTTCAAGAAAGACATAACTCCTGACTAATTTCAGAGAGACATGTCTTGCTCATTTTGTCTTAAGTAGTATTCTGTCTTTTCTCTCTTTAAACTGTGCTACATGTTAGAAATTCTGAGAGTAACTTGCATGCCAAATATTGCTCTGTTTTGTGTTTGGTTTTGTTTATCTTCTTTACGTTTCTTGATGCTTCACTTTACAATTTCGCAAAAACTTATATAAGTAAGAATTTGTACTTGTCCAACTCAAGAAAAGGAGCTATGAGCTTCCTCTCCCCTCATTGCAGTAAAGCTTGAGCTTATATGTCAATCAACTGATTCCCTCAAATAATCTTTAGATAGCAAAATGAGGTGAGATATGTTCAACATTAGGAGAGAAAACTCATATTTAACATCTAATATTTAGTGTTTCTTAGCGTGTTATCTTGAGTCAGGCTACCCTCTATGATCAAATCCACCTTCATGTTTTCTTTACATGGATTCTGAATTAGGCAAATAGTGAACTTTATCTCTCTGAATATGTTGTGCCAATAAAATGAAGACCTCTCAGGC